ATAATAATCGTGTTTACTGTATCATAAAAAATTATTTTTTTATGTTTCACAAGCAAAATATATATATTGAATAATATAAAAACGAAAAAAATTTTATTTTAAAAGTTTGTTTTAATACAAAAATTGTGACGTGAAGCGACATCTAGTATCAAAAATGTTCTGATGTAAATACGGAAATATTCGGGATCGCCCACGCAGATCAACGAGGTAAACACACATATTTTCGGGATCAATGTAGGACAGGTTAAACCTGTACATTACCAATTAATCAACACCAATGTTGAAGACAAACATATTCTAATTTATAATTTTCTTTAATTGGAAAAATGGTCAACATCTATTTGTAGGAGGAATGTTTGTATGAACAAATTATTCTTTCAATCACCATAACAGTGTATTTTAATGTAACAGTGTATTAAAATTGTTTTATTTACAATTACCAGGTAATTGTAAATAAAACAATTTTAATCTGTGTGACTGTGTTGCTGTAATCTTATACACCAGTGTGATAAGTCCTATTAATAGAAATACACTGTTATGGTGATTGAAAGAATAATTTGTTTAAATTAAGGACATTGATGAATATTAATTAACGAATGTTTGTATGCTTTCCACATGTTCTATATTTTGAATAAATATAATCTCTCTTACTTAATATTTATAAATTTAAATATATTTTTACATTGGCAATTTTATCATTTTAATTTTACAAAAAGTATACAGCAAAAATACAGTTGAAATAGAAAAAAACCTTATTCATACCTCTAATAAATCTAACACTTGATTAGCTCGAGTGATCATAGTTTGTGCTTGATTTATTCTCAGCTGGGCTTCACTTTGAAGTGGTACCTGACCCAAGTTTATGTGTACATCAACAGAAGATCCATCTTCCTATATAAAAAAAATTATTTATTAAAATGTTTTAAGTTAATTTTTAAAATTACCAAATTTTTATTATTAGATAATTATGGCAAATTACCGATGTTCTAGACATAACAGTAGCATTTCTTCCTATTTCACCCATTCCGGAAACTAAATCTTGTACTATTTGCTGTAAGAATATAAAAATTCACCTATTAATAATTACACAAGTTAAATATTTACTATATTTTATTGTTATCCATAATTATAAATAAAATCATTATTATTGTTTCAGCTATAATTACAGACGAAAATACAAAAAACTAATCAATCAAATCAAACATTTTTGTTATGGCTTTCACCTTTACAAAGATGTTACAGAACTCATAGCAACATTACTAAATACAAGCATTATTATACATAATTGTAGATAGATAATAAATAATATAACATAAATTAGTAGGACTATGTTAACATGTTTAATGAATAACAGAAAAATTTATAAATTTTATATAACATTACAGAACTTAAATTACCATCATATAAACAAAACATATTAAAAAGTCAGTTGTCAAAAAAGTATCCTTTAAGTGTTCAGTAAATTCACAAGATACAAACAAATGATTCTTAACGTTTTTAAAAAAATCTGTTACATCAGAAGACAATTGGAGTAAGCTGATACATTAATTCTACACCCATTTAATACAATAGTAAAGTTATTAAGTCATAATTGTATTATTAAAGATTTAATCTTATAATTTAAATTTGATAATAGATAATAGTGAGGTGTCCATGGGAATGATAAGAGGAAAAAAAAACACACTTGCTCAATATAAAGAATATCTTGAGTCCAATATTTATCTTTTAATGACTGGAAAAGTTCAGCTAAAACAAGTTTTTTTTTATCAGGAAATTGAGTGTAATAAGCAATTGAATAACCTAAATCAGTCAAACGTTCAACTAAGGAAAGCCCAAGTTACAACCAGAGAATTACTATAATACCTATTAGTTTCAATTTATTACAGACCAACTTTCTGAGATCAAATTCTGGTAACTCTAACATTTTAAACCAGTATCTAAAAATGGCCAATGCTAAACATATAGCCATTGGTGATCGACCTAGTGTCTCTCTTAAAACAGATCCAGGCACCGAACGATTAATATGAAATATCAATCTGATAAATCTCAATTGAGTCTTCTCTAATTTATCAACAAAAGATGGACCCCAAATAGGAAACATAAATCCCAAACTTGAACGTATCAAGGAATCAAATAATTGAAAGTATGACTTAATAGAAGACTGCTTCATTCTAACCATGAGCTACTTATGATCAACTTATTAACCTAATAAAAGATTAGTAAGTTGAAGTTTATATTTCAAAAACAATTTGTCTAAGTAAAAAGAAAATGAACCTTGTGGAGTATAATAGATACCCAAATATTTGTAAGATGAGACAACCTCTAACTCTCTAACCGCTAAATAGAGTTAGATAAATAAAATTTATCAGCTTTTCCCAATCTGCCCCCCTCCAAAAAACCATTACTCTAGATTTAGCCTCATTAATAAGTACAGTAGTTTATTAGACTTACAATAATTCTGTAGAAGGTTAAGATAAAATACAATATAAGAATAAATACAAAGAAAAAGAATACTGTTATATCTAAAATGATTTTGATATAATTTAGTGATTTGTATTTATAAAAACATATTAAGTGATTAAAAAATAAATTTCATCTCATTCACAGATTATTTTATAAGGAACAAAATTATTTATTACATAATTATTAATGTAAAAAATGTGACAAAGATTTTCTTAATATCTTTGAAACAGAAAAAACAATTAAATTGCATGCTCTTTGTGAAAGATTTGCAGTAAAAGACCACATTATGGTAGCAGATTAAACAGACGGAATAAAACGTTTGTGGGCAATTTGCCACGGAGAGGCCTACCTCCCAGAAGAAGTTTTTGGGAAACTGGCCGTTTTGGTGTTAGACACTTGAAGAAAACCAGAAAACTCCAATATTAATGAGGTATGAATCCAAGACCAACTACCAGTTTTTTTATCCACTCAATGACTAGTGGGTGCACATGATATCATTTTTAACAGAATCAGAACTACAACTGTATGTAGCTTGATTAGAATCACAAAACTTTTAAATTGTAACAAGTCCACCATCTGATTTAAGATTAAAATAAATTACTTATTTAGATAAGAATATATCATTGTTTTTTTTTGAATCAATTAAAGTTTAACATATTAAACTTCATGTTAAGATGTTAAACATATTTTAACATCTTAACAGTTTTATTAAAATTTCTAACAAAGCTTTTCAAGAGTCTTCAGTCATTAAATTATAAATATTAGATTTTGTAATTTTGACAAACTCAAAAATTTAATAGATTTTATTTTATGGGAAAAAAATCAATCCAGTAATTTTCATTTTATTTAATTTAGAGAGGAAAATGTTGAACTGATGCTAATAGTTGTTTTCAGCAAAATTTTCTTACTTCTTAATTCTAGTAAAAAAACAAAAACAGTAATAAAGTACTGATCATACATTTGTCAATACCTGGACATGTGCTGGATCAATCATGTCCTGTGGCAATGTAAAAGCTCCCAAAAGAAAACTTCCATTTTCTCGACCTGAATGAGTAGATGATCTATTTGTTGAAGAAGAAGAGGATGAGGTAGATGGTGTGTGAGTCTGAGGTGGAGGTCTTTGAACAAGATGAATTACTTTTCCATTTACATCTATTAATGAGAAAGTACAAATTAGTTTCATTATAACATATTTACAAGTTTTTCTAACTTCCTAACATGTTATTAAATTTAATTGTATTAAATATAAATTTTAAAAATTCATAAGTTAAACAAAAGTAATGCAATATATACTTTCTAAACTGATCTTTGCTTAATTAACTCACTAGATTGATATCAGTTCAATTGAAAAAGTACAGTATGTATCTGTTTGTATCATATGACAAATATGATAAGAAGCAAAGGATACAGTAGATATGATGACAGTTAAGATTAGCAACGTAGTCAATTTTCATTCAGATAACTACCATTTAGCTATCTCAAACTTTGTCATAATAAGTGTTGTCAGAGTGCTAATATCAAATACATGACAGCCACAAGCTGCATTAAATTTAAATTTATAATAAAAATAAAACATGACTCAATGAAAATAATATGTTTATCATAAAAATTTAAATGGAAGAATCCCGTAATTCTGTCAACACTGCCATCCCACTATACCAGAATGATCCAGTCTAAACCATCATTATTAATTTGAAATTTGTTGAATATACAAGTGCTCCTCTACTTGAGAACAGATTAGGTTCCCAAGGTTTTGTTTGCAAGTCAAAATGTTTGTGTCAAAAACCGACCAAGAAAGTACATTTGTACACAGAATAACCATTTATTGTTAGAGTTTGACCCTTTAAAGTATTTAATAGAATACATTACACTCATTTACCCACTACTAAGCAGTAGTAGGTATTTCAAACAGTTTTTTTTCATCTAATACACTTAGTTGTATAATGTCAAGTTTAGTTTCCATGGTAAGAGTAACACTTCTTGCATTTATCTCTGTTGCTAGATTTACTATTATGTTTTGGATGCATTTTTGAAGTATTTAATCAAAAATTTGTAAAAGTTGTAAAAAACAGCAAAAAAAATCATTACTCCAACATTACCAACTTCAACACCACCTCACAAGTAGTGATGGAATCTCAATCTGTACAAAGACAAAAAATGATGATACACAATAAGCCCACATTAATTATTTATTACTGTTAAAATCTGACTTCAATGCCACCCCAAGTGGCAAGAGACCTAGAATCCACACAAAATTTAAATTTTAGATATAGTCAAATTGTTTACAAGTTGAACATTTGTAAATAGGGGAGCTCCTGTATTTTAAAACAACTGCTAATAATATAACCACAGTTCATAATAATAGTTATTGTATAGTGTGTTCTAAGTATTGTATATTCATCTAATTTGTATACTGATTTTCACTTAAATTGTTTATTTTAGTCCTACTTATAACAATATATCACATAATGTCACTGCATCATGATTTACCATAATGGATATGGGGTATAATTATTATACAGTATATAACTTTTTAAGATTCATTCTAATCATCAGAAATATTGTGAGTAGACTTCAACCAAATTTTAAGGAATCTTACTAGAATCATACAAAGGAACCAGTATATTAAAATTGTTCTATGATAGTTGCATTATTTTGGATCTAAAAAGTACATGTAGATACACTGTTGTTTCTGTCTGAAACTAAAATAAATAAACTATCAAGTTGATTTTCAATAATTAGGTCTTTATTTACCTTTAACACAGAATGATTAAACATAATAAGCATTGTTATATTAGCAATCTTTTAAAACTGTTCTAAACGGAATACAAAGGACAGTGTCAAAAATTAGATGATAATCCTATATATTAAGCTAATAGTGACAATTTTGTTTATTGGTATTAGTATTAGTGACTTTAGAATTTTCCTGCTATGAGACCGTCAACCAAAAAGATTTTTTGAATTAAAGTGACAATATATATATATAGTCACTTTAATTCAATGAATTATTACAAACCTTGCAAATATAATGAAATTTTATAGTATGAGATCTTTTGCACACTGATTAGTTACAAGTTTTATTTATATTTACATTCTAGAATTATAACATAAAATGCTGCATGTAGTCATTTGTTCAATATGATTAGATCTAAATCTTAAATGAAAATTCTACATTAATGTAATATGGATGATGTATTCAATATATATATATTGAATTATAACATAAAATGCTGCTGTATTCAATATATATATATATTGAATACAGCAGCATTTTATGTTATAATTCAATATATATATATTGAATACATCATCCATATTACATTAATGTAGAATTTTCATTTAAGATTTAGATCTAATCATATTGAACAAATGACTACATGCAGCATTTTATGTTATAATTCTAGAATGTAAATATAAATAAAACTTGTAACTAATCAGTGTGCAAAAAAATCTCATACTATAAAATTTCATTATATTTGCAAGGTTTGTAATAATTCATTGAATATGGAAAAAAAAATTTCAACAAAAGTGTAAATTATTATTACTATTACTATTAAAAATATCTTTACAAGCAATAGTTAATGCTAAATCTAAATTACAGTAGACCCCCCTATAAAATGGGTTCATATAATGTGGATTCGTATATCGCAGCAAAAAAATTGTGACCGTATTCATATAAAGACGCTAAAAGAGACTCATAGCATGTGGTAAAACGTCATCGCCAACTCGTGTCACAACAGGATTGGTCAAATCTAGACCAATAGCGGATGTTGCACAAACTGCTAAATTTAAACGAGCATCAGACCTACTAAAAACCATTTATTATTTAACGTCCATAAAAATTATATTTATATTAATGATGTCTCCAAAGTTAAATTATTTTTCTGCGAAAAATTTGCTGATCAGGAAACATGCACCTGCCATTCGATGTGCCGCTCCACGACGAAAACAAGCTTAAGCAATGGCATCGTCGAACGGTGCAACTCAGCAAGTAATCCTACAATTTTTTGTTTATAGCATAGTTTAAATGGATTATTACCAAAAAATTATACATGTTTTGGAAATGTTGAGTCAAATTAGTCTAGAATCGATTAATTTTATGGAAGAAACCTTTCAAACAGCCGTAGTCCGTAAACTGCATACGTACCGGGCTGTGATTGGCTCATGTATTTAAGGACTCATAGAACATGAATTTCATAAAAAATGGAACGTATCTACCGTGTTATGGGGGGGGGGTCAACTGTAGTTTAACATTTTCTTCTATAGTAAAACAAACAGTCCTTGTTTTGCATAGACCATTTCACAATTCCTTACACAAATGAAAAGTAAATGTTTACACCTTATATTCACAAGGAAAGGTCACACCTGATGGGAAGAAAACATACATACTTAGGCTGAGATTTTTTCACAAAATAGATCATATCAAAGGATGATTGCATGCATTTAAAGTAGGTGGCAAAGGCCATCTCTTCACAAGAAAGTATTGATTGGTCAGAAAATAATTTTCGTAAAAAATATATTTTTTTTTTATTGATTTTGAGTTGGCAATATAAAAATACTTCTATGGATTTTTTTTGCAATTTTTGAGAAAAATAAGTATTTTTCAGTACCACAAAAAAATACTAAGCATCTTCTAATACCCCATTCACACTGAGCATTTCGATCTAGATCGTGACCAAGGTCGGCGACTATGCTGTGGTGCAACCTCTCTTGACCATTTCAATCTCGACTGAAATGATGTTCAATCGCAATCGACTCGAGCGTTCTTGAAACTAGATCCAGTCATAAGAGAGATACCACAATCCCACACGTGCGAGAAAATACAAGATGGCTGCAGAACACTTGTCAGGCTACCAACAGAAATATAAAAGACATCTGTCTATTATTAGATGTATGACAAAAAAAAAAGTATTTATTTCTAACCAAAACTTTCATTTTGTTTGTTGGTGTTCATGACTTACCGCATAGTTATGTCAGCTTTATGATCGTCTGTAATAGCCAGGTTCTTTTCAAGAGGACTGCCTGTACAAACAGCACGACAATCAACTGGCAACAGTCACAATCCAGATTATAGGTAAATCGAGATCGAAGTGAGTCATGGATTGTGTGTGAATGTAATATAAGGATGTTTACAGACTGTGAGAACCATGATTTTAGTTTTAAAAAAAGTAAAAATTTAAAGCTTTTTTCACTAATTAAATTAAATATGCAAAAAGAAAAAAAAAGTTAACTTATTCTTAAAACTTTGGTTAGTAGAAATAGCTAACATATCCATTTATATTGCTTTTTAAAAAGAAAAATCAAAAATAATCTACAAACCATATTCCAGTAATTTCTTCTCATCTTGAAGAACTCTACCACAAAAAATTAGTCTTTGTTTATCGGCAGGAATGCCCTAAAAAAAAAAAAAATAAAAATAAAAATATTAAGCTTATTTGAATTCAAACCAATTCCTTTTCATAAATACAACAAATTCAATGTTCTCTGAAAAGAATCTTTTTTAAATATTACTTTCTCTTGGGATATGATTTCTATATTTGTTAGTCAATATCAATGTACAGTACATTACAAAAAATGCAATTAAATTGTTGTTATCAATTTGTTAAAACTTATAATCACGTATGAAGTTAACTCATTTAGTTTTTGTAAGTGGTATAAATAGGAAAACTTAAAAGAATTTTTATACATTATTGCATTAGTTATTTTCATAAAATAAATACCTAAGATTAAAAAAAAAATTGAATTTGAAGTAATAAATTTTGTTATTAATACAGTAAATTCTGTAATCAGTACCTTGTTTTAATGTAGTATAACACAGAACTTAATTTATTTCTATGCATTCATAAAAGTGAAAATTCAACTATTTGCTAAAAAACAATACTTTTATATTTCTTTCAAAATTAAGAATTTTTTAAAATTGCCTTTAATTAAAATTGACAAGTAAACATGTAGAATTTTAAGATTAAAAAATTTTAAATTTATAAAATGTAATTTTAACTTCATCCTCAAGATTGAGTTATCTTTTTCATTTATAAACTTTCTTATCAATCAGAACACTGCATTCACTTACATTAATGTAAACAATTATTTAGAAAGTAATGTAATTTAAGCGTTCACAGAAATTTTTATATAAAAATTGGTAAAATAAAATTATTAGAAGTTTTGTTTGAATAATTTTAGGAAACGTTTTCAAGAGCACATTTTAATTGCTTTCTTTTTTTTTTTTATTTTAAATGGAACTACAATTCTGTATTTTTTTTTTCATCATTATTATATTTACATTTAGCTTTGGGAAGTCTGTTTAGATTAATTCATTAACATTTACATTCAAGTAACTATACTTTATACTCAAAACTTCAGCTTAGAGGCAATTTTTTTGTGAATTATTATTCTTGTAATTAAAACAATTTGAAATAATAATTTTTTAAACCCATTTAAGACTTTTAAGACTGATTAATCTGTATTCAATATTTTGACCATATTTTATTCTTCAAATACTTCCATGGAGTTCTCTACTAATAACTCAGCTTGAGAGTTCCTATTTGTGTTATTTGCAATATGGCCCTTCCTAATTTTTGCCTGGATATTTCCAAAAATGTTCTTTCATCACACATTCATCAATTTCAGATAAATCAATGAACCCTTGTTTTGTGGTTTCTCCTGTTTTAAAAATTCTTTGTTGTCATTTTACCTATTACTTGAATTAAAAAACTTAATTTATTTTACATCACATTTATTGATTCTTACATATTTTTGTAATTCTATTTATATTTTCATTTAATATTTTAGCACATTAATATTTCTAATTTTTTTATTGCACTTTACTGTTTTTTAATGGTGTTTTTATTTGTTTTTGTAGTGGTATGTAGTTTAATTTTGTAGCTAATAATCTTTTCAGTATTTAATATTTAAGTAATTACAGTTATTTTTAAAACCCTTAATCCTGCACTATAACTGATTAACAAATGATCAACAAATTAATATTTTGTAGTATTTTGAAATCTTGTTTTAATAAGTATCTGATTGAAATTTAAGGTTTTTTTGATCAATTCATTTTGGCTCAAGCCAAACTTCTGAATCTGCATATTTGGTTGCGATAGTTCAAACTTTCTGTAAAATATTTGAATTCATAACTTTCTCAGAGATCTTATTTAACTGGATCTCTGAAAAGTTTGACTTCAAAAATTAACTAAACATGTTAGTTATATCTACGAAAAATTATGAAAATTTCAATTAAGTTATCTATATAATATTGAGAATTTTATGTATCTTCTTCGTGCATAAAATACAAATATTTTAATCTGAAATGTATTATTTTCAATATAATAAATTATAGAACATAAATATTTAACAAATATAAATAAAATATATTTACCACTGAAGATGCAATTTTTTCTTTAAATTCTTTGACTGTAATCTAACAAAAAGTGAAAAAATTTTAATAGAAATATATATATATGCACATATTGAAATAACTAAAAATCTCTGAAACTTACATCATCAGGAACAGAATAACTATGATTCTGTGAATCAAGTGTTTTTACAGTTACTTCCAACATTTTTAATTTCTTAAAAGTTTATTTAATAATTATCATCTGTAAAATAAAAGAAAAATTTTATTTTAACCTTACATTACTTGAAACTTAAGAATATTGACAAATAATTTTAAACTTGCAAAATTTTTTCAACTTTTATCATTTAATTATTATTAATTTAGACTATGATGTTAAAAACAAACAATAGTTATCATATTTAAATTTCTAAATTTTCTGAAATGATAGTTATTTATATCATCTATTTGATAAAAAGAATCATTATCTCATCATTTACATTAATTTTGGTTTTTCTGTAATGATGCATTATCATTGCATCATACTTATGTAGATCATTTAGTATGTTCTTGAAAAGCCATCTAAAGTGAAATCTTTCCTTTTGTTGTCATTGTTTGTATAATGTAACACAACTTGCAGGTGATCTCCAAGGGGAAATGCCTTCTGGGAGGACTTTCTATGGGAAACTGATCCCTATTTAGGTATTATAAGTGTTAAGAAAACTTGTAAAGCTCCACATGGTCAGCTCATTGATGAGGTATGTGATCACAATCAAATAACTGTGTTTAGTGGTTTTATCCTTGGCCATTAATGGGTTCATTTTGTTGTTAATTAATCACTGTTCACTTGTAACATTATACTAATGTAGATCAGTCATTGTATTAACTCATTTTATTTGTTCATTATAGAAGAGGATAGCAATTAATTACAAAATGAGTGTTTATTAATCAGTATAAAAACTTTCCAGACATGTTACTTCTATTTGCTATCTGTTATGCAAATCATAATTTATTAATATACAGTGGGTGATCGGTTAACGAACATAATCCGTTCCAAGACTTTGTTCGCTATCCGAATTGTTCGTTAACCGATTATCGATTTACCATAGGTTTCTATGGGAATTTAATTAATTCGTTCTGGAGACCCCCCAAAATAAAAAATATATACTTTCTTACTACGTTTATTTATATGTAATAATAAAAATACATACACACACAGTCTTGCATTTTTATTAGTCATGTTTTTTTTCCGTTTGAAATGGTTAAAGAATCTATCTAATGTCACTTGCTTTTCCCTCTTCTTCAGGATTTTTCGTAAGTAATTAATAGCATTGCAATTGTAGAAATCCCCAAGCCTCAACCTGGTTTGGATGCCATTCTAAGACCGTTGTTCTGACATCCTCCCNCGTTATATGTCATGAGTTTGCGCGAAAGCTCGAAGAGAAAGAGCTCAATAGCTGCTCAATACCAACGCTTTCTCGACGACATAAAAATAATTAGATCATTCTCCAAACGCACACAGCAATATCAGAAACAAGAGAAAAAAACAAACACTAAGTGAAATAAGATATATATATATATAATTTTTTTTACTTATATATATATAATTACTCACCGAGATGCGCAGTCAACAGAATTCGAACTTCTGCGTGAAGATCCCAGCGGGTTTCTAATACCTCGCCTTAATCACTCACCACGATGCCTCCAAATTACCTATCCATCAATCACCCCAGTCGCTGTGCAATCGCACAAATCTATATTTTCAAGTCGTTTTTCAGATGAGATTCCTTCAAATTCGCTGGCAAAATGACAGGTTTCCAACTACAGTTCTTCCATATCAAGTGTGCACACCGGCTACAGTTTTCACGAAGATGATAACCTCAGTGGCACACCCTCGGAGGCCAACAGACCCTGGCCATCTCCAAAAAAAGAAAAACAAACAGTAGAAAATTTTCCAAAAATATTTTCCTAATTAAAATTCAATTTTTTATTTATATTGTGGTGTCTTTTACTTATGAATTAGCGATAACATAAAGTGAGAATTTTATTGAATAAGCGTTAAAAATTTTTCTGTCTCTTCAACTCGGCTCCCTTCAAGAGTAAATCCTAAATGCACCACTGAATAAACTTAGTAGTTGTTCTTTTGTTTAATCTTGTCTCTGGAGTGAGCAGCAGCGACAGAAATAACAAAGCCATCTTGAAACAATCTAACTGAAAAGACAGTGTTAGTACTAACAGGGATAAAAGAGTTATTAAAATATTTCTTTCTACATGATGTATGGGAATTTTTCATGCATGAAAACATTTGTAAAATTAGCAGTGAGAAAAATGAAATATTCTATGAAAGTGCACTAATGAAATTAAAATCAAAAGTTATAACAACTCTTAAATATTGGATGACTGTAATTCAAGTACCTGAATTCAACACTTTCTTCAGAGATATGAAGAAATCCAAATACAACCGTAATTGATATGAGAACATTTCAAAACATACCACAAACATTGATTAAATTACAATGTTACAATTTTTTAAAATATATAAATTGTATACAAATCACTTCTAATAAAAAATTACGTATTTATTTTCAGATCAAAATAAGAAGTTAAAGTTTTATTATCAATATTTTCTGGAAGCCAGCAGTTGATAAAGTTTTCTGGAAGTGAGTGGTAATTTGAAATAGTATAACACTGAAATTATTTTGAAAAGGTTTTTATTTTTACGTTACATTAAATAATTACAGTAGAGCGTCGATTGGGGACTGAATCAATTGGGGACTGGGGTTGTTCGGAAAATTCGATGTTAACCGATTATGTACGAAAAATATATTAATTTATCCCATCTTGACATTTTTCTCCGCTGCGTGTCGCTTCGCATTGAATTTTTGTCGATGTTAAGCCTAACGAAGACTATTGTATCGTTAAAAATTATTTTTTTATTTTGTACAAACAAAATAAATATATTNAAGCATAAAATTGAAGATTTCCCGCCAAAATAGAAACTTCCCGATAACATCGGAAATGACGTTCTAACATCATTTTAAAATATTCAATATCTAAACCAGAAAGTGTTAGATAGAAATAGACTTATTTATAGAACAATCCCCCATTTCTCACCTCAGGGAGTCATAAAACAGTTGGGTGCTAATGACTTTGTGAAAGGGAAAAAGTTCTAAACTTAGAAACTTGGAAAGAAGGGATTTGGCCTGTACCGTCTGCGGCCGCATAAACATTGATAGGGGGCCGTACGTGGCCCGCCCGCGGACGGCAGGTCGTGCACCCCTGCTAAAATGTTTCAACCTTTTAGTAGATAATGGATTATCAGCATTAGCTAATTTATAAGTAAAGCCTCCCTTTTACTAAAAGTAACTAAAGTAACTAACTTATTCATATTTTAATTACAATATATATATGAATATATATGACATTTATAATGGCAAAGTCCTTCTCTTAACTAATATTTTCATACTGAACTTAATATAATTATTTCACATACTTGATATAAATTCATGAAGAACAATGTCTTTTGAATATATGATCATCATCAGCAAATTAATTTTTGTCATTCTAAAACAAAATAACTTAAGAGAGTCAAATTTTTCACGATTCCAATACTTAACCTTGTTATGTATACAAAGTAAAATCACACAAATCATTATTTGGAGAACAAAGTGGCCAGGCATTAAGTAATACACAAATAATCCCTTGTCAATGAAATGTTGTTGCAGAAACTGCTGTATACAGTATCCCAGGGGTAGCCAACCTTTTGCATACCATGCGCCAATTTTTTGATAGACGAGTTCACATGCGCAGTGGCGTACCGTGAGTGTTAGCAGCCCGGGGCGGAGAAAAATTTCGGCCACCCCTTATTTAGGTATTTCAATTTATAAGACGAAAGTTCNCCCAACAGTCTAGCGAATACATAAAAGAATTATTTTGTCAGAAAAATAAAAGGCTGGAATTACAAGGGAGAGTTTCAAAGTTCGGAGGAATACTATTTGATTGGTATATACTGGCTTGAGCGTTGATGTCGACGTTTTCCACACTCCGAAAAGTTTCGAATTGTTTCCCGAAGACATGGAAAGACCAATCGGTATTCATTATTTTACATCGCTTCTTCTTGTATTTGTTCTGTGAAGGGTTCATTATCCGATCATGTGTTCGTTGTCCGAACATAAAAATCTTTCGCTAAAGTGTTCGTTATCCGATCTGTTCGTTAACCGATCACCCACTGTATTTTCAGATCTACATTCCATTATGTACACTTAATAAAAATTGATTTTACATTTTTTAATGTAAAATCATAAAACTAATTTTTTATCAACTTTTTAGTTGATAAAAAAAAAAAATAGTTTTCTAATTTGAAAAATGCCTCATTTAAATCAAGCAATTTAAAAATAAAAACTCAAACATCTTAACATTGTAATAAAATCTTAAATCTAGCACTTGTATAATTATTTTCTTAAAACTTTTGTAAGATTCTGCAATAAGAGACATCTAGCTATTCATCAAAATCTTCTATATCAAGGAATGTGTCAAAATTTAATATGTGCAATATTTCATAAATAGAAACTTCAGGTAGTGTTATAGCCATATACTTGTGACACTTGATCAAACTATCATGTTTCTCCTATCATTCACAAGGTGAGGAAGTGGAGAACAATAAGGTTAATAATACAATTTCATGGTAAACTAATTGGAATAAGGTTAATAATGATGATACCTAAAATAAAGTTTATGCAGTAGAGCTTTGTTTTGCAAAATTTCAGATTACTTCAACTGAAATGTCACTGTTACCAAGGTCTTCACCAGGTCAACAGTGATGCTGCAGATATCTATCCATGATCAGATAAGTTATGACCTTTTCAAAATAAAACAAACTTACCTGATCAGGGACAGATAACATGTTTAATATGAAGGAAGTAACTGCAGAGAGTGACAATTCAGCAAAATCTGTTCTTAGAACACATTGCCAATTGTCTGCAGATGCAAAATTTTGGGAGTCAATGGGTTCAACACATGTTGGGAGTACAGAAGTAGCATAGATGATCACTGTAATCACAGTGCATTCATTGTATGACCTGATCCAGACAATGTGATTTGACAGATCAAAAGTAATCTGGAGCACAACAAACATTACATGGCTACACTGAAATTGCTGACATGAAAACTGTTATTTGAATTGACATATCTTGAATATTGACAAAATAGAAATTTTTGCAATAATGAATGATTTACCTTCAAGAGTGCATAATAGTTTATTTTAATTTGAGTTGTACAATTAAACAAAAAATTTGCTGCCAATTCACATTGAAAATTACATGGAAAATTTAATTCCACATTACAATTTTTTTAATATAAATTCTGGAGAAACTTTAACTATGATTTTCTTATTTCTGTCTAAATATTTAATACTAGCTGCAAGGACCCGCTTTGCTGGGCAAAAAGTAACAATAGTGAAGATTAAGATAATTACATTATAGCTAATCTTACCCGTTTTCACAGAATGCAAGAATTAGGTCCCCCGTTTCCAGACTAATTAGAGAATTTTTACGTTTAGTCAANTTGATCTGAAAATAATTTATAACTTAAAAAATTAATTTTTCAGGTTATAAATAATAAAAGTTAAAAAGGTTATAAAAAATAATTCTTCCAAGCATTCACAAGACATTGTTCTCACTACTCAGCGGCCTCACAACTGAACGACACGACGGCACATACGTTACAGTTGGCCTGCACAGTTTTGGACTGTGCAGGAAAATCAAATGGTTTTTCGTTTCTACTCCGGCGGTTTATACAGTTCACCGAAAATGTACAGTTTTCCCCCACACACTAACAGGAATTCCTCAAGGCCAGGCCTGCATAGTTATTCCTCAAAGGATTTCCTTAACGTGTGTGGCCCCCTTTTAAGTCTAGTTATGCTGCGATGTTAAACTCGCTTCTAGCTACTGCTTGACTCCACCCATTGCTAGAATTCTAGCTAGTTCAATCAGCTTTTTTTTATATAACAATCACAATGTTATTCTTTCATTCAAATCGTTAACTCATTCTAAAATGACTTGGAAATATAAAATTATCATACCTCGGTATAACAGATTCCCGAGGTATGGTAAAGATATGGCAGGGATTCTTAAACCTTTTTTTATTCACGACCCCATTTATGATTGTTAATTTTTTTGAGACCCAAAAATATAATATAAATATATATACAAATTTGCAAAAACAATAATGGTGTACTACCACAGTTCACTCTTGTGTTACAATGGAACAGAGACAGCTGACACTGAAAAGCGACAACACTACACTAGTTCACACTACAATCAGTGTGTGGCCGGATGGCCGAGCGGTCAAGGTGGTAGTCTACCGCTCTGGGGGACCCGGGTTCGAATCCGAACGGGTCGAAAATATCCCCCAGGAATTTTTCGGGGGTGGTCCGTTCAGATATGTCGGGCTCCGTCCCTCACCATCCGGCAGCCCCATTATGGGCCTGGCCGAACCCATAATGGGATTGCAAAAAGAGGCCGTCTTCGTGCCCACAGGGCGGAAAGAGTTAAAAAACTACAATCAGTGTTATTGAATCGTTGTCTCGCTGCACCAGAAGTAACACAAAGCGCAACTCACGAAACCTATGACACAAATTGTACCATTTTCAAACTCTCACAAATTATTTTCAATATTTTGCATTAAAATCTCGCGACCCCAAGATTTCGCTAAGCGACCCCAAATGGGGTCACGACCCATAGCTTAAGAAGCCTGAGGTATGGTAAAAAAAAATTTATTTATATAATGTATGATTATTGTGTAAAAATTTTATTTGTGTAATGTAGGATTATTGTGTAAAATTTTATTTGTGCAATGTATGATTATTGTGTAAAATTTTATTTGTATAATGTATGATTATTGTGTTAAATTTATTTTTCTCTTCTACGTGAATTTTATCTGTCACGTGAATTTATGTGTCATTATATACAGAATGTTCCGCATTCTTATTTAATCTTTCTCGAGAACTTTAACCTAACATTTACCTCATTCTTATTCTACGCGTGGAAGAATAACGAAACTTTTGTAAAGGTAAGTTAATCTGTAGTCTGAACATGTGTATCATCAGTTTGCTTGCTATTAATGTATTAATTGTTGTAACTAAAGCATGTGGCACCAAGACCCTTTCTTTGGTATCAATTAATAATTAATAGATTTTGGACAGTCCGAAATGCAGTTTTGAGTTGCAATCATAATTGTAAAATTGTTTAATCTGACAATTCTTGGTTTAACACATCATTACACAGAACACAAACTGCTTAAATGTTAATGGTGTAATGCCTGTGCCGGTGTAGGACACAATGCGTCAGCTACTTCAAATAGTCTGAGCGGATATATGTAGGTACTTTAATATGTCTGACCATGTGCTATTTGCAAATGGGGAATGCCTTCCGAGAGGTTTACTTATGAGAAACTTTCCCCTATTTGAGACGTTGGACACGAGAACAATGTCTTGGAGTGTAATGTAAATGGCATCTACAAAACCGTATTCCTGTATTTGCCACTTCACCGAAGGACCTGCTACAACACATCTTTTTACATNCGAATGCATCGTGTAACGTACAAGCAAAAAAAAAAAAAAAAGGTCAACAGGTCGATTGCACCGAATTGTGTAAGAAATACACTTGCCAAGACACACTGTAAAAAATTAATTTCCTATGTAATATTCATAATTGCAATGAAGCCAAATCTGGCAATGTTGCTCGGAACCGACTGAAGCACCACTTGTAGTCGTCCAATGCGCCACGTTTTGGCCACCCCTGCAGTATCCAATACATGGAGAAATTTCATCTTGCATGGAAATGTTGACTCAAGATATTGTTACTATTATGGTTGGGTTGACAATAAAAACATTCAGCATTTCTTGGTATCTGGGCTATCAGAACATGTCACTGGTCCATTAGGATTGCTTCTTTGATGAAGGCTGATGTAAAGGTACATGTGACTGGGAATCCACATCATATTAAATTTAGGCAAGTGCAATGAAATCTGCTGGAAAACATAAAAGTTTTCCATGGCCCAAATGCAACAGTTATACTATTTTATAGGCACTTGTATCGGGCTCCTGTGTAATTTTGGAATTCAATTCAAAAGCTTTGCTTTTCTTATACACTAGAACGATTAAAACAATCCAGATAAAATACTGTATTTTTTGTTTTTAAACACCAGAAGGGGAGAATTGGGTAAAATATGCAAATATATAGTTTACAAAAATTATACAGAAACTAAAAGAATCCTTCACTTGCACATATAGGACAACCTAGGTTTTTGAAGCAGTGAAAAATGGATAAAAACCTCGTCTTATATGTGAGTAAATATAGTATATGCTTATGTAAAGGAAAACTGCTTTTCTGATTGCAGCACCAAATAAAAGCACTGTAGTAGCAAGTTTTGGTATTAATTTTATCGAAAAGTCCCATCTCCTGAAATGTCACTATAGCTATCTAACTGAAACCAAATCTGGTAAATATCTCTCTAAACAGAATTGAGATAGTGATATTTTAATTAAAAATCACTCAGCATTTGTAATATTTCTAAGATTTATATCCAGCCTAAAATTTTACATATACTTTACTCTTGTAAACTTCCATTTCAAGAATGAAAGTTTAAGGTCTCTATTTTAAAAAATGTTAACACAATAAATACACGAGATAACAATACAATATATTAGTAATCGTTTACAGTGGCAGAGACTAGGATCCTCTGAGTACTCTAGAAACACAAGATTAAAGACACTACATAATTTTCCATCATAACTAATATCTAATTGTAGCCACAGAATTATAATAAAACAACTGGAAAGAAAAAAAAACAATTTTTATTTATCATTTCAACTTCATGATTCCAGAGAGAGTACTTCTAGGCACATGCCTAAAGGTGCCATCCAGCACTGATCCTTTAATTCAAACCAAATAAGGTTGCATGATGTTTTATAGTTCCACTTAACTTTTGAAACAGACTTTACAGTAACATACACATTATATTTAAATAATATGTTTTCTTTCATTATACAATTTACTTTTTATTATGCAATATGCAAAGCAAATTCAGGCAATGTCTATAAGTGAAAAACAAAAAGATGATAAAATATACAAATGATAATTTACATTTCATATGCTGTATATGTAAAATACATATTTGCCTCTTGCCCACACAACTGTATTATAATGTAATCAATATACTGTATTCTTTCTAATAAACAATGCCCTCTACTAAACAGCAACATGAAAGAAGTTATAAACAACACATTTCTAATAATAAGCATAGTGTCTATTTAAGAAAAGTAAGTTTTACTAAACTGAAAAATTGCAGTCTATTCAGCATTATTTTTAACTTAAGGTAAGTGTGACAAAGTGCTAGTGAATTGAGTTTTGTGTAGTTTAAATAATAATGAAGTGAAAAAGTTACCAAATTTATTCCACTTATAGCTGTCCTCAAATAATAATCACACCTAATTCCCAAAGAATAGAAAATAATAGTAAGGACCCGTTTAATAAACAGTACAGTTGCAAGCTGAAAAAAAATTATAGACAGAACACTGTATTATATCAGCTTAATTTGTTACATCAGGTTGTAAAAATAAAATTTAGACTTTTGATTTTTTTCCTAGAAACAACCAGAACAAAAATGTTCTAGAATGTTCAACATGAGTATATAAATAAAGTAACAAGGAGGCATTTCATCACATTTCATTGGAAATAGACACATCAGCAATGTATGACAATGTGAAACTTTTGAAATACATTCATGTGCTGTTGCTCAATCATTTCAATAATGGTCACAATGCAGGAAAAGCTCACAAACTCATCTGCAAGGCATTTGGCAAGGACACAATCAACAGGCAGACCTGCTACAATTGATTCAATAAATTCAAAAGATAGAAATTTCTTGCTTTAAAATGAACCCTATCCAGGTGATTCCACCATCAATGACTATGTTCTCCTGCACCTGATAGACAATAATCCATGTTGACCACCAGAGATTAGACCTACTCGAGTGTTTCCTTACAGTCAAAAAATGACAAAGTCCAATATCCCACAGCAATACATCAGCTCAGAGCAAAAATAACCTTAGAAACGCTGACCAGTTTGGACTGGGAGGTTCTGTCTCATCCATCTTACAGCATATCAGACTTGGCACCAACTGAACACCATATATCTCACACCCTATAGAACCATATCGACAACATTCAGTCCAATGACCCTATCCAACACTCAAGACTTTCTTAAAAGAAAATCACCAGTCATTTTATACTCACAAGGTTGAAAGTTTGCAGCAAAGGTAGCGAATGCAATTGATATTGATGGTAATTACCTACAAAACAACTATAATCATCGTTGAATTAACTGTCAACGAAGTAGGGTAATGGCACCAATAGTCAACCATTTAATGCTTTTTTTGAACTTTCATATATTTTTATTAAGACATGTAATAACACAAAAAGCAAAATTTATATATGAAAATAAAGTTTTTTCTATACTTGTCATTAAATAAAAAACCATTTATTAGACCTTAACTTTCCATTACAAAAAAAATAGTTTAATCACAGGTTGTTCAACCAGCACATGGCACGATCGTTTACGGTGGTCAACGACTAGATTTTCCTTCATCGAGCGCCTCACAAAATGTAAACACGAAGGGATAAGCAAGATCAATAACGCATTTTGTAGAGCTCGCGCAGCCCTCGTTATCTTCTAAAGACCCGACGACGCCTATGCGGTCGACCACCAGAACAGGCATTGCGCACTAATTTTTCCCATCACCACGAGTAAAGCAACTAGATATCCTTACATGTCAAGAACGGAGTAATTTAACAATGCGTCCAGTCAAGACGGCCAGCCTAAACTTGCTCAGATGGATTGATTACACGTGGATTTCGGCTGAAAGTGGTCGACGACAGACACCACCACCCTATTTTTTCAAAGCATCTAAATTGACAAGTAAGATTTTTTTGTGTAAATTATAAATGGAGGTTTCTACCCCAATTCAGAATTAGAATCTTAACTTTAAGATATTTCAATGTCTTTATGTAATATAAAACAAGGAAGAATCCAATTTACTTACATCAATTGATACATTAATAGAAATCAATAAATTTATACCATTATATACTAAAAATCCTGATAATTACCAACACCAAACTGATGCGTGACAAATAATGTCGAATTATATTTAATATTAATTAAAATAAAACTTCTAATTAATTTAATTAGTAAATACAATAAACAATATTAAATTTGGTAAATAATAATTAAGAATTAATAACAATTTAGCAAATAAAAAGTGAAATTCAGAAGAAACTTACGAACAAAAGTTCGTCTGGTTTTGTATTTAAATACAAACAAAAACCTTTCGATAGGAAATAAGATGGTAAAAGACTGTTAGATAATTAAGTAAAAGTGCTATTCATTTATTCAATAAAGCAATAAACTTGTAGTATAAGATGAAAAAACAACTTACGAAAAATTACACCCTGCGTCATTACACTATGATCCTTATCCAATATGGCGGACGACGGAATTGTGTGGGATCGAGAATATATTTTGAAAAAATATAAAAATATAAAATAATAATAATCCATTTTCGAGTGTATAAAATGTAAANAATTTAATTCGAACAAAACATTCGAAATAGAAAGCCACTTTCAACTACTTTTAGCCTCATATCTCCCGCACCCTTATAGCTACTTAGACGCAACCACCCCTATGCACGAATGGAGACTTGGGGCTACCACCACATACAAACACCATTCACAAGCGATGTGTAGTTTTGGCGAAAAAGTGAGATATAGGGACATACAGGTCCATTTTTATATATATATTATAGATATATATATAGATGATTAATTCATTACAGGGCACCATCATCTTGAAAGAACTTCAGGATCATCTTTTCTAATCAAATCAAAACTTGTAAAATTGGTCTGCCAAGACTAACGGTTAGGTTAGTCAAACAATACAAGACTAATGATTAGGTCAGTCTTGTATTGTTTGATAAAGCAGATCCAGAAGCTTTCTATGGATCAGGACAATCACCTTTGGTGCATTCAGTGTATTTCTTGCAACATATTCTGACTATTGATGACATATGATTAATTTAAGCCTGAGACAGTTTAGTGAGGCCATCCATTATCCCATGGCTTGCAAACATCCAGAAAGGGACGAAGACCAGGTTGATTCATAGATATTAGCTGATTCTGAAGAAAGAAGGGGATAAGATAGAAGATGGTTATAGAGAGATAGGGCAGTTGATGAATTGGGGAGTTAAGAGCTCATGGGCATCTACATCGCATTTATTGAGATTTAAAAAAACATGCAAAATACAATTACATTATACATAATGATACACAATGACAATTGTTTTAAGTATAAATGTGTGAAATTTGCCCATTGGAGAAATGAGGTTCCCCTCTGTGCATAATAAGCCATTGCCAGAATAGTGTAACATGAAAAGGAACATACAAAAATACATGTTTAAGATCTACATCCACAGGATAGTGATGGTTAACAGAGATGATGAATATTAGAGGATAAGATTTATGCAGGCGTCCCTATAGTACCAATATACAAAAACAGTGAAAAAATTATCAAATGGCAGAAGAAATGTCAATACACACAAAGGTATTTGAAGTTCATAATGACTGCTGCTTATGTCTACTACAACGTCTTACTCAACTGTGTTGTAGTACAATAGATTTTTATGAAAATCTGATTAAAAATGGTATTATGTAAGAGCAATTAACACATCAAATTGCACACATGGAAATGTTCAAATAACTAATAAATCAGACAAATGATTCTACCTGCCTCCATCTCACCATTCTAAAGAATGCACTTGTTGAACATTGTACTCAACAACAGAATAGAACAAACTGACCTGAGTGCAGTTGTTTCAAATGTAACAAAATTTTTCTTTTAAGACAGCTAAATTACAAACATCACCCTTAATAAACATAGCTCTTCAAGTATCCTAATAACAAGAAATCAAAAGAGGTCAAATCTGATTATTGTAGTAGCTATGCTGCAGGAAATAATCAGCTAATCACTTTCATTCATGAAGTGCTGATTCAATAACCTTTGTACTGTACATTGATGCTGGTGCTTTATATACCATGATTTTTATGCAAGATGAACAATTTTGTTGCTGAAGTATAAGGATGGCAAAGTTTTGAAGCATGTCTCCATACATAGAGTGGCATAGACAGAACATGTCACTGTCAAAGAATTTTTTTTTGGAAGAAAGAAAAACACAGAAAAAATAATACAGTCCAATGAATATGCCATAAACATATACCACACTGATTTTTTTTCATCATTTCATCTTGCAGATATTAAGAGAATCTTTTTTCAAGCCCATAATAAGGTAGCCAGGTTGTGAGTATGTGAGACATATATGGAAGACTAAAATTTCTGAGATTTTTTAACCTGTCCTGATCTGATCCTAAATCTCTCATAGTGACAGCCAAGACAGTAAGGTGTTAATCTATCTGTCCAGTATACAAGTTTTGGTTGATGCATGGAGATTTGTTGATAAAGGTGTGGATTTTCTCCCAACTAAACAGGACAGTTGTGAATTCTATATCATTCAAATAAAAATAGACTTCATTGGTTTATAGAACTTGCCAGAGTCATGAATCATCAATTACCACCCAAGCTATGATTAATTTCTACTAAGCATAATCATTAAGAAGCAATTTGTGACTCATATCCTAAAAAAGTAAAATTTCAAGTCAACACATTTTCTACACATCTTATACAGATTTTATCTATATCAGTTTTCTAAATTCAGTTATAATCATTTTCAAGTTCATTAAGTTTTTATAATTATTTGTGTTAATTTACACAATAAAGTACTATAATGTATGTTAAAAGTTTTTATATATTTATGCTTTAAAATGAAAATGGAATCATGTCTAGTAAGAATAAAAGTGAACTGCCAATGAAAATGATTTGGCTAAAAGATCACTAAAATTAAACATTACAAGAAAACATAGATGTTATTAAATGAGGATGAGCAATCATGTTGATAGAATTTAAATGTGCTCTTTGTTATAACAATTATGAAAATGCTGATATAATTAAAATGGATAATGAAAATTGCAAGAAGAAAACTTGTTATCTTTGTTTTCTTACAGATAAGAAAGTGGAAGATTTACAGCTCCACAACTGACTCAAAAACAAGTATAAAATTGATTATCTCTCTTGTCAATTTAATATTAATTCTATATATTTTAGATTAGACAACCTAGATCATAATTGGGAATATAGAAAATGGAATTGATATAGTGTTGCTACCTTACGTTGTAGAACAGAGGTATCACACAAGACAATAAAATCTCTTTTCTGTTTTTAAAACAAGTCTAAAATGCAGGGATGCACAACCTTTTTTGAAGAAGGGCCAAATTAAGATTAAGTTTATTGACTGGGGGCCGAACCTCCAAGTGATTAATGCGATGTCTGATGCAATTTGCGAGATTCTTTGTTGTATCGTCATGTGGTTAAGACTGATTGTTTGAAAACACTGTCTTCTCAGGACACATCTCACTTACGATGATAAGANATTTTTTGATAAAAACTTAAGCGAGAACATAAAATAAATGTACAGTAGTTAAAATACAATACTGTATTAGGAATGTATCCATTTAAACTTATTTATAGCGTTTTGCTCCTGACAGATTGAGTTAATCCTAATCCTTTACGTATGGTAATGTGGAGTATACTCAGTGGTGATATTCAACGGGTTCGCACAGGTTCGGCCGAACCAGTTGTTAACATTTTCAAAGTTTTCAGAACCTTGTTAAACACATGTAACATTTCTCAACGGTTTGATTCTTTTAAAAATATTAAAATATACGTATTATACTCTGTAACACTACTAAACTAGAGGCTTCCGATGCACCATTTGAGCGAAAAAAAAATTGTTAAGGAAAAATTTTCTGTTAGCGAACCCTTTGTTAAATATTTCGAATGTCATCACTGAGTATACTATATAAAAGTGTACGGGCCGACATATTCTGTTATATATATATTGAGTGTCAGACGGAATAATTACATTGGGTACGACTTTCAGATATGACACTATCGATTGGAACGTGCAACGAAGGCAGATAACGAGGAAACAACTACAAAGAATGCGCATAGGTTAAGAAATAGTGCAATATTCATCCTAAATTTGCAGTTCAATTCAATAATAATTTAGTTGAGTATAATATACTTATAAGCCTATTAATACATAATTTACAGTTTAAAAAATANTATTAGGAATGTATCCATTTAAACTTATTTATAGCGTTTTGCTCTTGACAGATTGAGTTAATCCTAATTTTTTACCTATGGTAATGTGGAGTATACTATATAAAAGTGTCCGGGCCGACATATTCTGTTATATATATATTGAGTGTCCAACGGAATAATTACATTGGGTACGACTTTCAGGTATGACACTATCGCAACGAAGGCAGATAACGAGGAAACAACTACAAAGAATGCGCATAGGTTAAGAAATAGTGCAATATTCATCCTAAATTTGCAGTTCAATTCAATAATAATTTAGTTGAGTATAATATACTTATAAGCCTATTAATACATAATTTACAGTTTAAAAAATANCCATGCAATCTGATCGGTTTGGGTTATGTAACTTGTTGTTAAAGTAACTTTGATATTTAAATATCATAAAAGATAAAAATGTAAGAGTCACTTTAGGGCGAGCATTTCACGAAACACAAAGCTTCCGATCATTTTAGACTTCGGGCTTCTAGAACACTGCAAACAAAGGTCTAAGGATCTCTGGATATGCACATTTATCTAAAATACAATAATTTTGATAAAATGGTTGTCGTAAAGTGAGTATGTTGAATTAGAACTAGTTTTTTTACATTTAAATTACCTTATATATACAATCGATACTGTATTTTTATATAACTCAGTTTCTCAAAGAAACTTGATGCAATAAACAATCTTCTCCTCCTCTCATAGACTTATAAAGACCGTTGGGTAACTTCTAGAAAACTGTTTTGGTATACCTTTTCCAGCTCTCCCTGTTTCAACATCTCGTAGATAGTTGGGCAATTGACAATCCAGTCCATTTCCTAATATTATCGGTGCACGTGTTCTTGGCCTGTCTCCTGTTTTTGCCTCTTATGTCACTCCCTCAGAGCTTTTCTTGTTAGTCTATTTCCTCTGATATGTCTATACCATCTCATCTGTTTCTGTTTAGTTCTTGTTAAAATACTTGGTCGATATCCATTAGCAGTCAGAATTTTTTTTATTTCTTCATTTTTTATGTGTGCTGTGTAGGGTATCTGCAATAGCCTTTTATCAGGCTTCCTTTAGAAGGCAACTTATCTGGTTTCGTCATCGTTTAAAAAGATCCATCTCTCACCTCCATACAGAAATTCCGAGTTAACGAAGGTGTCGATTATACGTATCCTGCTAGATATAGGTGTTTTATGATCAGTCCATAGTGATTTTCGCTGTTTTAGGGTAGTTCTTGATCTATGTGTGACCTTGATGTTCCATCTTTATGCAGTTTCCTTCCGAAATAAGTAAATTTTTCGACGTCCTCCAGGCTTTCTCCGTCAACTAATATTTTTAGGTTGTTATTGTTTTTGATTTTTCAACATTTAAGTGAATGCTTTCTGAATACTTGTGCTGCGCTGTCTTTCATGTAATTGTATATCACTTTCAGCTATTGAGTCAATGTCATCTGCAAAACATAGATTATTATTTTTTTATCTATTCGTTTGAAACCTCATAAGAGCAATCTTAAGTTTCTGACACATGATGTTTCCCAGAAAAATATAAAATAGGATTGGTGATAGTATACAACTCTGTCAGACATCCTTTTCCACCATGGTCTGCTGTGACTTGCATTTTATCTCTATCAGCATAGCAGATGAAGTATGTAGGGCTTTTATTAATCTTATTATTTTATTATCAATTTGATAAGATTTTCCACATAGCATCACGCCATATGGAATCAAATGCCTTCTGAATATCAATGAAATTGTGACATATTACTTTATTATATTCCTTGATATTTTCTTCATTAAGATGCAATTTAAATAGATAATGTATTGTACTTTTATTCCTTCGGAAATTAGTCTGTTCTTCAGAAAGTATAGACTCAACCTTGATTTCACTTCTAAACAGCAATATTTTTAGTAAACTTTTCTTGCATGGCTAATAAGGCTAATAGTTTTATGGTCACTGCATCTTTTGCTATTCCATTTCTTTGGTATTGGAATTATGATGGAAGTAGTCCAATCAGTTGGCCATGACTCAGAATTCCAAACATCCCGACAGATGACACTTCTTCTTTCAAAAGTTCCTTACCATCCATAACTGGCTGGGGCTTTATTATTTTTTTTTTAGAGAGTTTAGTGCTTTTTCAACTACCTCTCTCAAAATAGGATAGTCTCCTTTATCCAGTGTTATGTGTTATCTCTACGATTCGTTTAGCCTCTGAGAATGATTTTTTTTGATAAGGTTCTTGTATATTGTTGCCTTCTTTGTACAATTTTTTTCGTTCTGTGTTTATCACTCCTGTTTCGTCTTAGATCGACCTTCCATTGTTTACATGGGTTTAGTTAATTCTTTCGGGCTACATTTTGAAAAACAATGTAGACGTATAAATTCTCCACTGTTGTCCGTTCGTTGTCTGTCCATTAATCTCGAGTGTTGGATAGATGAAAGTCGAGATCAGATATGGAAAGCTTATGGGAGGAAGCCCCGATTAACTATATATATATATATNAATAGTCTTCTTTTTTAATTAAAATTACATATCTTTCTTAATTTTTTGGCTTATCATCAGTGAATGTTTTAACTGTTTTACATAATTTTGAAGATGCGTAAACTCTCATAAAAGGTTACCTCTGTGAATAAAAATTGTTTCCATTCCTGGTGATTGCACATGATGGAAATGAAGACAATTGTTTCTTCTGTATTTTTTAATAAACAAATTTTTAAAACATACAGCTTAATGTGTTTCAGGTCTTTTGGCAGATGATGCAATACTCTTAGTTTATTTGCTCTTGCATTGAGATACACTGTAATGATGATAGCTTATTTATTTTGAATAATTCCAAAATTCACGTGAAACTAAAGAAAAAAAACAAATGAAACAAGATAAATACAGATAACAGTAATAATTTAGTGGTTCTGATACTATAATTAGTAGTTTCTAAAATGATATAATAATGCAGGTCATTTGTTTTTAATCACATACAATGAAATTAGTTAGCATCACAAGAAATTATTTAAATTTTATATGGAAGTAGTTTCTATTGTATATTAAGCCACAAAATAAGAAAAACGAATTTAAAATTATCAACGTATTATATGACTGATATATTTATTATCACGACTTTCATCAAGGAATCTATTTACTTACCGAAACGTCTTCTGGAAGAATGTCTTCGCATCCTCAGCGGTTTTCAAAAATACAAAATTTTTCGAATGTTCTTCGTGGTCAACGATTTCAGTTAGAAAAATTCAAATTATTCATTTTAAAAAACATTTGTTCTATGTTCATTTCAATCTCAGAAATAATAATATTATACTAAATCTATTGTGTCTTCAACCCTCATTCTTTACAACGTGTCATCTACACTATTTCAATCAGTCGCCAACCACTAATTAAACCTCAACTCATTTATCAATTTCTTCCTCTTCGTGTCAATCGCTGCTTTCCGAGTTCCGAAACTGCATCCGCATCATTTTTATTTAGACTATGACATTACTCCTCAAGCTTAAGAATTAAATATACATTTACTTAACAGTTCTTAGCCTATATTTATATAAGTATCTTCCTTGTTTAATGTCTTTTTCCTTCTATAATATTTTCACTCCTTCCATTCAGTGCCTCTGGCGCTAGGCTTTTGTTTACATTACCATTACTCACATCTCTCTTGGACTCGCCTATATTCTCTCTTTTAAATTTTTACTCATAGACTCACATACCAGCTTTCTCCCCTTTCACCCATTTCTGTCTTTACTATATTAAATCCAGATTGTAGTAATCCCTCAAACCTATCAGTTTTTATTCCTTAACATGTTGAAAATAGTGTTTTTTTCACGAAAATCAGCTTTCCTCCGTATTGCACAGCATCTTGTATGCTCTCATGTTATCAACGTACACAATCACTCGCTTTTCCATCTTGCTCTTTATTCCTTTTCCCAGCTTCGTAATATCCTGTTCAACCTCGCTCCTATTTCCTAGCTTATCTATCATCCCATTTGGAATCATCGACCTCCCGAAACGTTATTTTAATTTATTAATAGAGAGGTTGCGGCCGACGTATACGTGTACGTCGGACGCGTAAACGTGTATGTCGGACGTTCAGCGCCGCTTTCCTATAGAGTTTGATTATGGTGTTTGGATAGTCAGTGGAATCATGCTCGACGTCCCAAACACCATTGCCAAACTTCTAGGCCTTTAGGAAAACTTCCGACGTACACGTTTTCGCGTCCGACGTACACGTATACGTCGGCCGCAACCTCTCTAATACTTATTTCTTCATTCAAATCTGCCACTTCACTGCTAAACACATCATGCGCTTTTTAACAAATTCCGTAAAGCGTCTACCTAATTGGCTCTCTTCATCTGCAATATATCAATAACTCTTTTTTCTGACCTAGTGCCTATTTTTCTTCCTACCTTCATGCTAACATCCAAATGTAAAATCAGGCAGATTACTTAATGATATATATGTCGTAATCGTAGCGAAGTCCGCCAACATTAGTACGATTCTAGGCTTGGCTGCATACTTCTATAAACACACAGCAACGACTTTTCTCTTCTGACATTTTCCGCTGAATCGAATTGCATGCGACGACTGTTTGTCCCATATTCAGTTCGTTATATGTCATGAGTTTGCGCGAAAGCTCGAAGAGAAAGAGCTCAATAGCTGCTCAATACCAACGCTTTCTCGACGACATAAAAATAATTAGATCATTCTCCAAACGCACACAGCAATATCAGAAACAAGAGAAAAAAACAAACACTAAGTGAAAAAAAATATATATATAGGTTATGAATGAAATTGTTGAATATTTTCCCTTACCGGTAGGTGGGATAAAGGCAAACAACACTTTCCAGAAGATAGTAAAGAAGTGTATCACATAGTCTGAACAAGAAGGCATCTTTTCAGTTCCGTCATCTTCTTCTTCATCATCTTCATCACCTTTTATTAAATAACATTAATAAAATTCAATACTATAGTTTCGGATATAAACTCATTAAAAATATATTAAATTTTTAAATTATTCTTATGATTTAAAGATGCTTCCATTGAAGCAAGAACATGAGAATTTAGGCTTTTTTTTTTTTGGTGAATTATTTAAGAATTAACTGAATAATATTAAAGTTCTTCCACTCAATAATCCAATATGGCTGTGTTTACACTCGAGTAATTTCTTTTTTTTTTAATTTCTATATAAAATTTATTTATTTTTGTGAAATTTCTGCTTTTAAATTTTAATCTCTCTTCAATTGTTATTCCTTATTCGAATATTAAGAGATGAAATTTTAAATAATGGACCTTAAATATACTTTATCAGCAAATTAAAATGTAATTTTATTTAATTTTTTAAAAATAGCAGCTGCATGAAAGTTGATAAATCAAATAAAAAGTAAAAAAAGACATTATAATTTAATGTTTTTATTAGAATTTTTAAAAAGTACGTTCAATAAAAATTAATTAAATTTTAATAAAATTCTTTTATTTAAGAAATTAAAAAGAAATTAGAAAAGTTCTTAACTGAAATGAATGAAAACTGACACTACTAAGTGGAAGATTATACATTTCTGTAATGTTACTAAATTTGCTAGAGTTATATTGAGTAATTTCCGAGTTATACTACATCAAAATTGCTATAACTGGGCCAATGCAATTATCTTACAATCGCTCTATTTGCATGTTTCCTGTGCACTAACGTAAATCGAGTCATCGTTTCCTTTCTATTCAATGGAACAGATAAAGTGATTTATCCTTTATCACGTACAATAATCGTAATTAATTTGAAAGTTTTCGAGTTTATGCAAACAATATTAATGGAAAGATAATCTTCTTAATATGTCACGTTTAAATTTGTTAAAACTTGATTAATTAAACATAAATTTTACCTGTATTAACAGTTATAACGCCTAAGAACTGTTCCCTCCACGACGATGTACCTATCATCAATGAGACGTTTGCTTTTTCGAAAAGTTTATCGACAGTATTCTGTAAAGAAATAAAGAAAACTAATGGTAAATATAATCAAAAATCAATTTATAAATCGACATCATTCCCTTAGATTTTTAACTATTATTGATCTATCCCAATAGAAAATACTAGGATTTAGATGTAAAAGAAAAAAAAAACATATCTCGACTAATCTCATTGGTGTCTTTATAAAGATTAATAGCAAAAAGAATCCTCAATACTCCAAGGATTAAGGATTAAGATGACTTCCAAAAATTGGATTTCATATAACTGTAAATGATAAAGCCAGTGTAACGTTACGTAACTCACAATTTTTCCCAAATTTCTACGAGAATAAAGCCTTATAATAACTGAAAAATTTACTTTTAAACCAATTAATTTTGAGATTTCGATAGTAAATAAATTATTCATATAAAATTAAATCCATTTTGACAGGAGATTTTATTTATTTTTAAATTTTCTCTATTCATATTCTTATTTTTAAATATTTGTAGGATTTTAATGAGACTCTGTTTAACCATTTACTTTTAATTTTATGCTGCGATCATAATGCTTAATATATTAAAATTTAGTTTAATTAAGTATACCTTAAACTCGCGGCTCTCTTTAATCCTTATTTGACATCTGTAATATTCTCCCAATCTGGGTTTTCCTAACATTGCTAGCTTATCTGCTTCTGATGCTTCGCCATTAGGAGATGATGGTTCGTTGTTTATTTGGCCGGTTTCCTCTTTAATCAAGTCTAAAATTTGAGAAAGAAAACACAAATTAAATCTGTCGGATGGCCTAAAATATATATAAAAGGTTAATTATTACCTTCTTCTAATTTTGGTTCACCAATTTCTACGTAGAACACCGAATCTTTTTCGTAACTTTCGTTGTCCAAAATATGAATTGGAATATCTTTCCTGTAATTTAAAACATTAAACTGCAAAAATGATATTATATAAAACCAATTATTTATATTTATAATATGAGTAAAAGAATGAATAATATTTAAATAATTTTTTTTTTAAAGAAAGGGATCGATGCTGTTGTATGTAGATAGACATATAAAGTAGCGCATTCAAACCAGGAGGTGCCATATTTAGTCCATTTTACTGTAAAGCGACCATAGTTTTCCATTCAAAATATTAATTAATTTATGTATTTTATCGAACAAAAATATAAAATATGAGTACTTTCTACAGTAAAATATTATAATAATTAATTTTTAATAAAGGAAGTAGTAACAACTGGATTATAGATGATTGACCGGCTGCTCAAAGGAATACGATACTCTATACATCTAAATACTGTATATCAGATTACAAAGAGTGAGAGAGAGAGATAAATGCTTCATGCTGATAAAATTCTTTTTAAACTATACAACAAAGCCATCTAAATATCTAAATTTAGATATATTATATTTAACTGTTTTGTTGAATGACTGAAAATGTATAAAACAGTATCAAATTTTCCATTTCTAGAAGCGAATTAATATCTAAAGCACTCTAATTCTATTTAAAAATTAAGAGAATTTTGTTATATAATTCATAAATATCAAACAGGAGTATTTATTTATGTTTAAAGTACGGATTTTTACGTAATAAAATACATTTCAAATCTTTGCTTTAAATTCTTTTATAACGAATCTTACTTTAAACGAAGATATCCTTTAATATTTCTCAATATAAATACCTTTAATTATAATTGTAAGGTACAGTCGACCCCCCAATAACACTGTTGATAATTCCATTTTATATGAATTTCATGTTGTACGAGTCACTTAGATTTTACAAATACGTGTGCCGTTCACAGCCTGGCACATGTATTTGTAAAATCTAAGTGACTCGTACAACATGGAATTCATATAAAACGGAAAAATCAACAGTGTTATAGGGGGG